ATTTGAACTTGATTACCAGTTGTATGACTTGGTACATGATTACTTGTTACTTGAATTTGCACTTCTTCACCGGTACTTGGTTATTGGTTTCTATATTTGTTAAATGATTACTGATGTCTATACTTGGTACATGATTACTGGTTTCTACACTTGGTACATGATTACTGATTTCTATACTTGGTACTTGGTTATTGGTTTCTATACTTGTTAAATGATTACTGATTTTTATACTTGCTACATGGTGACTGATGTCTATACTTGCTACATGGTTACTATTTCTATACTCGGTACACGATTACTCATTTCTATACATGTACATGATTACTGGTTGTTTGACTTAGTACATGACAACTGATTGCTTGATTTAGATATACACTTACTGTTTGACTTGGTACATGCATACTGGTAACCTGATGTTGTACGTGAATACTGGTTGCTTGACTTTGTACTTGGTTACTGGTTGCTTGACTTTGTACTTGATTACTGGTTGATTGACTTTGTACTTGATTACTGGTTGCTTGACTTTGTACTTGATTACTGGTTGGTTGGTTGATTGACTTTGTACTTGATTACTGGTTGATTGACTTTGTACTTGGTTACTGGTTGCTTGACTTTGTACTTGGTTACTGGTTGATTGACTTTGTACTTGGTTACTTGTTGGTTGACTCGGTAAATGATTACTGATTTCTACATGTTGTTCATGAAAACAAGTTGCACCACTGTGTACATGATTACCATAGTAAGTTTGTAAGATAACGAGAAAAAGTACTACTTGTTAAACTTCAGTTGGAACAAAAGCTGACAAAGATCAATTGTTTGAAGATCGCTTTAATTGTTTTGTTGTATTAAGCACTATTAAAACAGTGGAGATATTTTGTAATTGAAATCTCTTACAAGTCAATTTGATTGAAAAATGACGACGTATGACAATAGGGGTAATTAGTTTGCGAATACATCCAACAGGCAGATCAAAGGTAGGAACTTGAATTGACCGATTGCCTTTGAAAAGAGAAGACAGAGGGTTTTTTGGTATAATGTAATGCGGATCCGTTTCAAAATCGTGACATTCTTCATTTCAACGGACATCCTCAATTTAAGTAATGACTCATTTATATCAATAATGGGTTCGGTATGTGTTAATCTTTGAAGTTTTCTTTCTTTTAATTTAGAGACAATGTGCAAATACATCTATATTCAATAGATACATTGAACATTTTATCATAAAAAGGAAAGATTTTGAAACACTTAATGGACGTTTTGTATTGTTCTTCTGTCTCGTTTGATTGTAAAGAAATACAATCGCCATCAAAGTAAAACGTTTTTGGCACCTTCTTTCAACATTGATGTTTACAATTAAATTCAAGTGTCTCATTGACATGAAAAATTGCTCCAGATTACAATGGAGCGGAAATACGATTTTAAGTGCAATAATAAGTCGGTCTCATCTTCACAATGTCAAACTATTACGTCTTATACATTGTTTGCAATAATAGCCACCATTCTAGTATCACAGAATGCAGCAATTTGATTGGATTATATGCCAGTGAATACAGCCAATCAAAGCCCTCGACAGACAAACTATAAGCATTATGGCTTATTGTTTACCGACTTTTTGTAGGTGAATCGGATTGGCTGTATTCGCTACATTTGCAAACTTTCGGCACACAGGAAAGGTGACTAATGCAATCAAGGTATAAGACAAAGTTCGTAATAGCTTGACATTGTGAAGATGAGTTGGTTGTACGGAGAGTAGAGAAGATTGTCATTTATAGCCGAATGTGTTACGGGAACGATTTAAAGTGACGTGTCCTCTGTAAGACAGATTTATGACCATTTTAAAGAATTACAAACTGATGTGTACGAAATATTCTGATTCTGCACTGGTTCTGACTCTCTGCCATATTTTATTGCTAAAATACAGTTTAAGTGATTTAGACAGAGGCCTATTAATGAATTACATACTGATTAATATGAAATATTCTGACTCTGCACTGTTTTAATTTTTATCATTCATTTTCTATTTTATTTATATTTTCCATTTATATTACCTTATCATTTTGTAAATAGGTTATTGTAGTTGTATGTAGAAAGATCCCAGGGAAGATTGCCTTGTGCAACTGGCTTTCTAATAAAGTTAGTTTTTATTATTATTATTATCTCTTGACGTCTCAGCCTATTAGTGATGATAAATCAACTGATCTTCTCCTCAACCCCTGTTCTGTAATTTAAAGGTATGATTCTTGAGGTGATAGGTTGGAGAATCATGGGGTAAGACAAGAGTTGTTATGGTCGATAGTAGAACATGATATGTTGTCACCGGGACTGATTTAATACATGAATACGGACAGTCCATTGCAATTTCATGTAGAATTCAAAGGTTATTAAATCCTATGCTTGGGGCAGTCGAACGCAATTTTCTAGCCCGATCACGTCGATGGGCCAGCGCTCTTTTACACACGATCTGGGTATAAATATCGAATTTTTAATAGTTATGCCACTCTGCAAAATTGCTCAGTTTATCACGTGATCAGTGCAAAATAAGCCGCGATTGGGTGAAAAGGTCCTTTTGTCTGCCCTTAGTTCTACTTAGCTATACGTGTCAAGTTTCCATTACAACTTATACTACTTCTGATAAATTAGGCATCTAGGATTTGTATTTTAAATCGTACTTAGAAGTGCACAAACATCTTTGCTCGTCTATTTCTTGGGGGTCGTCCAACCATAAAATACTGATCTATTATTGTACAGTAATCGGTCACATAATAGACAATCATTAAAATTGGAGTGCGATTTAATTTTTTTAAATTATTTTTGCCTCGATCGTAATCTAGCTACAGTCACGTTCTAAGGACACCAACCAAAGTGTTTCAAGTAGAATCTGTTTCTTGATAACAATGACAAATTGTGGAATAACGAAACCCAAAGAGACTGTCATATTGTTTACTGTGGATTTTGTTTTCCTGGACTGTGGTTGAAAACTTGTAAGATGTCAGTAAAATATCAGGAAAAAGATCTAAATTTTGATTTAATCGTTAGATTAAATGATAGCGAGTTTATCGCAGAAGATCTTGACGAAGATGCAAAATGCTTCGGATTATCTGCACCACTGCAAAGATAATTCCCAAGTGTGCCGTTATCTGCAAGTTGAATGTTATATAAACTGGCATGTTGTTATATTTATGTCTACAATCTATTACATTTACAACTGATAAATAAAACCAAGTAGTTTGTTTGATATATTCATCTTCTTGAACCTAAAATGTCTCACTGAATGAGCTGATATATATTTCCATAATAGCTCCGTCACACCGGCCTGCGACCATTTGCGATCTTGCAGCGTGATGAAGTGCACTACCTGCGGTCAATCGTGAGAAAAATTGGAATAAAACTCACAAACTTAAAAAACAGCCGATCTCTATTATTCGACCATATATTGCGTTCGAGCGTTTTTGCTACGTCTTTGTCACGCGTATACTGCGCTTTTACGCTGCCCATGGAGATGTTGCAACCCTTCTATGACGACCTTATAGACCCTATGACGCTTTCAACGCGTAGCAGAATAGATCGCCAAACATTGGCGTTTGTTTTGAACATGTCGCAGCGAGTAGTGGCGACAATTGCACTATGTCTGGTGTGTCATTTACGTTTATACCACGCTTATGGCGACCTAAACATGCTCCGATCCTATTTAACATCGCAGTAACAGCGCAGTAAACAAGCCTTTCTGGTGTGACGGGACAATAATAGCTACTCACAACGCTTTTTGAATTAAAAAACGATGTCGGACTTTCAAAATGAAGAATGAAAACCATTTATAATTTGTCAACTTTCAACTATTGCAACGGGAAATATTGTACCTCGTGGCGCGATTATTTGCTATAATTTTATTCAACGTTTTGATTTGTTTCTACCGTCATAGTCAAATACATGAGGAGAAACATGTCGAAACGTTGCTTAAAACATTGAACCGTGATTGTTTTTCCATAAAGATGTATCGTACATCTATATTTAAGGTATTCGGCAATTCATTCACCTTTTCTTGCCATTCTGTGGTTTTCAACACAAATGTGATCAGGTAGTAATCAAAGAACTGAGAAGACTGGCTCAACTGCAGTTTCCTAGTTTCCGTTTCAATCATACTGGATTCTTATCTAAATAGAGTTGATGTCCCTATTTATAAAAATCTTCCTTTAGAAATTGAAGATGTCTTGCGAAGGACCTATGTTTTTCAAGTTTTTGTTTCACCATGTAAACATTTATATTGAGTTACCGTCGAGAGTTCCTAAATCCATTTTCTACTTTTTCCACTAAGGAACCTTGCTAACCTTTCATGTAACAAAAGTAAGAAATTAGAAAATTGTCGGCTTTATCTGACACATGTTTATTTGGTGAAATCAGAAGCACTAGGATTTATTTTAGAATGATCAAATTTTCTTTAGTTGATCTTTTTCAGATGGGAATGTACAAATGGGTTAAGACGGTGTTACTGTAAAGGGACAGATTCGCCATCTACTTGACCAATGGTACCTAATTGTCAGAAACGGGAATTTTTAGCTGAGCTAATGAGTAATAGTGTTCACAGCCCTTCGTAGAAATTTGAGCCTTTAAATACATGTGTGTCCAGAATTATCCGCGTTTGAAAGTTAAGTTAATTCTTTTCTTGAGAATCTGTCATATATAGAAAAGACATCTATAGAAATAGAAAGAGAGATTCTTAGTATTCGGTATTAAAAAATTATGCAATTTTCGTACATTTCTAGTACTTCTGAAGGCAATTAACGTATATTCAAGGCACAAATCAACTCCCTCAAAATCAAATCTGTCCAATACCTCGAAGTATCGAAGAGCGAAGCATACTCATTCGAGGGATATTTCGCGCCACCCTGCGAATAAGGTTGGTCTACTGACATCGAAGAGACCTCCAAGCTAATCTAATTAATGCTAAATTTGCTATGTATATCAGAAAGAAAAACTTACTTTTTCAAAAATTGAAACATATTTTATTCAACATTATAAACAAGTTCTCCATTTCGTTTTCCTTTCCAGGCAGAAAAACTTCGTTTTGGAGCTCGCTCGTTTAAGAGCCTCGTAACAAAGGCTCGTAGATAATTTTTAGCAAAATTCCACTCTGGTTTTCTTTTTGTTAAAAGTCTAAAGTTTTCATTAAATTCGGGATCTGGTATATTGTCACTGAGATGAAAGGGAAACAAAGAACGTTTTCCATTCCAAGAGCTGAATGCAGGACGTTTGTTCAAATCATACAGCCCAAGATCGTACAATGAGCGTTTTCCACCCCAAGATGTAAACGCAGCCTTTTTATCCACTTCATCGCCGTAGTCGGAACGTTTACCACCCCAAGAAGTAAACGCAGACTTTTTATCCATTTCATCGCCGAAGTCAGAACGTTTACCACCCCAAGACGTAAAAGCAGCCTTTTTATCCATGTCTACGTTTCCATCACCACCGTCATTTAAATCCGAAGGTTTACCATTCCAATAACGGAAAGCTTTCTTGTCCAGGTCGTACTCATCGTTGCTCCGCTTTCCACCCCACGATGTAAACGCAGCTCTTTTACCGTTCCAAACACTAAATGGGGCGCGTTTACCACCCCAGGCTGCAAAGGCTGCTCTCTTAGAAATCACATGAGATCCCTTGAACGGTTTTAATGAATTGAATCTTGGTTGTTTATTAACGTTTCTACTCCACGACCTAAACAAGGGGTTTTTGTTCCAAATACGTTTTCCTCCCCACGAATTGAAAGCAGCCCGTTTATCGTCCAAACTGTCAACCACTGCCTCTCTCTTGCCACCCCAGGATGTAAATGCAGCCTTCTTATCTGTCACAATGTTCGTGGGTATGGGATTTTTATCAGCAGGGGTTCTTTTACCACCCCAAGAATTAAAAGCGGCTCTTTTATTGTCCTTGATATTTTGAGAATTTTGTTGGTCCTCCTTATCACTTATGGCAAGTTTTCCTTGTCGTAAAATATTTTCCAAAGTTCTTTTTCCACCCCATGAAGTGAAGGCTGCTCTTTTGTTAGAAATATTGTTACTTATCTCTGAGTTCCTTGAAACACTTTTTTCTTCACCTTTTATACTAGAAACTGTTCTAAAATTTAAAACAACAACGAAACATAAAAATCCACAAATCCACATTCTGGAGGTTAGAAATCTACAAGAGCTATGAGTTCACAAACTTTCAAATAAATAGCAAAACTTTTCCCGTTGCGAAATTCCATGTGGGTTGTTGTCACGTGATAAATACCACGTGGTGATGGAACCACCTACTAGACGGTTCCTGGGTGTCTTGTATGAAGAGCGGTAAACGAGAGGATGGTGATTGTGTCAATAAAGGTAGTTAGTATTGATTGGTTGTAAGAAGAACTAGTCAACTATAAATGTTGTTTTATCCCCGGATTATCGGCTAATCTGCTACTCCCATCAATCATTATTAGTATTAAGACAAACCTTATACAATATTCGGAATATATAGAAGGATATCACACGCTTAACTAATAACTGGCTATTTTTATAATGGTGCAGCACTTAATGCATTAATGGAATGAAGTTTTCAAACTAGGCCGAACTTGATTATTTTTTTCAGATAAAGTTGATAAGTCTTTGTAGCCTTGCAAAATCACAAATATTACAAGAACACAAGTTGGTTTTACGATGGCTTTTGAACAGGAAAAAAAAGTTGTCTTTGAAGAGGGTAATATTTCACACACTTTGTAAATTTTGTTCGAAAATTTTTTCAATCCATAATTAATCGGTCAAAGTATTTTTTTTTTTTGAATATAAAGCATTTACAAAGTTTATTTTTTACTTAAATTTCTAGACTATTTTATTTGTAAAGAATAACATAAAATATATACCTCAGAACGAGGACAAACATAAAAAAAAAAGATTTTTTTGGACTAATAAAATTATCAATATTAGCACTACATCAACAGAATCGACAAATTTGGAACTTGGTAAATAGATGCTTAGAATTTTGTTCATGGGTTGGATTGATTAAGATTTGTATATCATTTTCGATTTTGGTCAGATTTGTTCAACGTTGATAAGAAAATTGATAACCTTTGCTAATTGAGATGGCTACTTTAAAACAAATATCGTAAGTGCCTTAAATATTCTTTTATTTTCAACTGTGTAAAATCAATACTAGCTTAAAATTTGCATGTCTAGAAGCAATATAAAACAATGACAAGACAAATAAACGTTTAATATAATGGAATATGCTTTTTAGTTTTACGAGGAAAATGATAAAATTGCAAAACATTGAAATTCCCGTGTACGGATTCCCAAGTTCATTTCCTGTGGTGTTGCATTTTTTCACTTAAAAATTTCATCAAATAAATCTATTTTAAACCTTTTCCGAAACTCACCATTTCAACTTTTCTTCAGGAAATTAAACTTGTCTGGAAATTTCTATTCTAATTCAGTACGTATTGGATCAATTTTCTCCTTTATTACTGAAGAAAGTAGACCATTTTTTATTAATTGAGCAGGAATTGGACTGATTCGTTTCCTACACCCAAACTCCCGGAACCATGACGATTAGTAAATTTTTCTAAATTTCATGAACCGTCAGGATAAGTACATTTTTCCAGAACCATGAGCATTATTACAATTATCTAACTTAAAAAAAAAACAAGGATTGTTAAATATTTCAAAACTTCAAAACCATGAACCATTCTATAATTCCAATGCGATTGTAATATTTCGTAAACTTTATAACTTTAAATACGTATTATTTTCCAAAATTTTTAGAATTAGGAATGAGTCGGAAAGTAAAACGTCTGATGGATTTTTTCCTTCGAAGTTGATAATTTTTGGATAAAATTTCGGGAAAACTCTCCTTGAAATTCAAGTAAAAACTAGAGCCACACGTGGCACAGAGTGGGACTTTGCAAATGTAGCAAAATGCAAAAGACCCCGAAAAAATCAACCTTCCACGATAATTAGATCAAGCGCAAGAACAGTCTAAAGTTGAGAAATTTTCCTTTTTTGGAAGATTTTAATACCGGAAGTGGACGTCAGACCTCACAAATGAAAGTATCAGCAGATAGCCAAGGTCAATGACCTTTGATCTTGTAAAGGAGAAGGCCTAAAAAGGTCAAGATCAAGAGATATACGCCATCAAAATTTCAAATTGCTAACGACTATAAAACCAGAAATTGACTTAGGACAGCAAATATAAAAGTAGAAATAGATAGCCAATGCCAATGACGTTTGATCCTACAAAGGTCAAGGCCAACAAAAGTCAAGGTCAAAAATTGAAAATTTTGAATTTCCAAAACCTGTTCCTTTTTTTGAACTATGAAGCGGAAACAACCAAAATTCTAAGACAAAGTGGCTCAAAATATGAGGTAATTGTGTAAAAAGTTCCATTTTGAACAAATGTATACTTTGCGAGTTATGCCCCTGGCCAAAAATGTCAATAATGAGTAATTTAACCCGGAAGTGCCACGCCCAACTCAATTTTTTTTGAATAAGTTAATCAATATTCAAAATGTTACGTTATGTTCCAAATGTCAAGTTCCTACATAATAGAGGTCAAAAGATATAGGTCAACAAAAGTCAACAAAGGTCAAAATCGAAAAATGAAAATATCCAAATGTTAA